TTTTTTTTTGGCCAAGTGAAAAAAAAATACGCTTGTGTTGTTTTGTCCTCGGAACAGCGAAAGGCACGGCTGTCCCTTGAAACATTCTTCAGCTCTTCCAATGGAAGGACCTGCTCGTCTGAAAGAGCCCAGCCATGGACCTTTGCCCCCCTTCATCCTGCCCCTCACCTGGGTCCTCTAGAAAGAGACTGAATGTCAGCCCCTCCCCCCCCCATGGGACGGAGGAGAGGGGTCAGGTGCCAGAAAGCCTCCCAGCCCAGGAGCGGATGCAGCCCACCAGGCTAATTTCCCTCCTCCGTCCACCCAGAGGAGGCGAATTTATAGCAGGCAAGGAAGGATTAAGTTTGCGGCAGGAGGGTGTGTGTGGGACACACACACACACACACACACACACACACTTCGTGTGAACTTGCAAGGCGGAGAAACATCGGAGGAAAAGAACAACAGAGCTAATTAGGGGAGCTGGGCTGTCAGAGCAGGGCTGCATGGCTGAATGCCAGCAAACAAAGGAGAAGGCTTGGCAATCAGCGGGATGGATGGAAGAGGCTGCTTCATTAGGGATGATAAAACACGGGGAGGGAGGGGGGAAGAGGGGAGGAAGCTGGCAGGAGGGGGAGAGCAAGCAAGCGGGGGGAAAGGTGGGGGGGGGGGAGAGAGAGAGAGAGAGAGACTGAGACTGTTTAATTAAGCCTAAAGCTGGCTTGTCATTTGCTGCAAACCCTTTCACCTTTGAGTTGGCCTTCTTGGAGAGGGGACCTTTCTGCCAGAGACGGCATTTCCATCTCTCTCTCTCTCTCTCTCTCTCTCTCTCTCTCTCTCTCTCTCTCTCTCTCTCTCTCGCGTGTGTGTGTGTGTGTGTGTGTGTGTGCGCCAAATCCCATGGAAGACCTCTGGAAGGAGGGTGAGTGAGAAAAAGGCCAGGTCCCAGCAGGGATTTTAAATGCGCGCTAGCCAAGAGAGAGGGTTAAATCTCCTCCAATCAGAATAGAGCTGGGAGGGGACCTTGGAGGTCTTCTAGTCCAACCCCTTGCTCAAGCAGGAGAGCCTATATACCATTTCAGACAGGTGGCTGTCCAGCCTCTTCTTAAAAACCTCCAGTGAGGAAGCACCTACAACTTCTGCAGGCAACTTCTGTTACGCTGGTTAATTGTCTATTAGGAAATTTCTCCTTAATTCCAGCTTCCTTTTTCTCCTTGATGAGTTTCCATCCATTGTTTCTCGTCCTGCCTTCTGGGGCTTTAGAGAATAATTTGACCCCCCTCTTTTTTTTGTAGCAGCCCCTCAAAAACTAGAATACTCCTCTCCTGTCCCCCCAGTCCTTCTTTTCTCTAGATTAGCCAGACCCAAATCCTGCAGCCGTTCTTCGTATGTTTTAGTCTCCAGGCCTTTAATCCTCTTTGTTGCTCTTCTTTGCACTTTTTCCAGTCTCAACATCCTGTTTGTAACCAAAACTGGATGCAGTATTCCAGGTGTGGCCTTACTAAGGCTTTATAAAGAGGTAGTAATACTTCCCCTGGCTTTGATTCTATGCCTCTGTTTATACAACCAAGGATTGTGTTAGCCTTTTTGGGTGTTACCGCACACTGCGTCCATGCGACAAGAGTATGCTGCAGCTAATGCTGTACTCTTAACAGGCTACTTGGGGCTCGGGGGCCCATGATGGCTGGAAGAGGACTTTCGGGGACTAATGAGGACTACCTCAAGCTTGGTTCTACGTAGATCCAGAGGTAAGTTTTCAAAAACTTGAGTTCTCCCATGGATAAACGCAATCTGTTCAAGGGATTTGGTTGAGACACACAACTAGCTGCAACAATTCCTTCCACCAGTGCCTCTTAAATTTCATCCATCATGTTGACCACAAGGCCAAGTAACTCATCACACATCAAGATGACCAAGTATCCAAGTGGAGTTGAAACCAGCTGGATAGAGTAGACTTGGAGCAGAATAACAGGCTTGGAGGGGACCTTTGAGGTCTTCTAGCCCAACCCTCTCTGCTTAAGCAGGCGACCTTAAACCATTCTGAACAAATGGCTGTCCAGCCTCTTCCCAAAAACCTCCAGGGATGGAGCACTTCTGGAGGCAAACCAGTTCCGCGAGGTTGCTCAAAAATATTTTAGCTTAACAGCAAATTTTGATTACTGTTTAACAAAGATATTTGTTCCCAGACAACACACACTGTTCAATTGAAGATGGAATTATTAAATTAAAAACTAGCTCGATACCCTATGAAACCATGTGGTTGGGCTTAGTTTTTGGGGAGGAAAATAAGGGGAAAATAATTATGCCTCTGCCTACCAGCATCCATCTGGCTAGCATGCTGTCAGTGTGTGAGAGAGAGGAGGGCTGTTTGGAAACAGAAGCAGCATTTGCTGTGTGAGCAAGGAGACAGCAAGGAGCCTGGGCGTGGCTTAGCTCAACTGTTCTGGACTAAAGCTGTTTGATGCTGTGAAACTAAAACCGAAACTCCTCTCCTCTGCTTGTGTTTTGCATTTGGAAGAGATTTCTTTTCAAGCGGGGAGGGGGAGTAGAACTCCTTAGCATCAGAGCATGTTAATAATAATTATATAGGAAATACTAATGCTGTGATGGTCATTTCGAAAAATCCTTTCTTAGTGAGCCCCTAGAAGCCAAGAGGAACATAGGTACCAAATTTCAAGTTTGTAGGCTTTGCGGTTCTGGAGATTTTGTGATGGTGTGTGAGTGGTATTTCACATTTATATATATTATATCAAATTAATTAAAAACATTTTTTTAGCTGAAAACCCAAATCAGTGGAGGAAAATCAGTGGAGGAAAATCTACTGGGTAGAAAACAAACCAAATAGGATGCATTTTTTTTCCTCTTCTTAGGTTGAAATAAAGCACTTTTTAAAAAAATGGATACTGAATCAAACGTTTGGAGCAACAAAGACAGACGTGATCACACCAGATCACCACCTTCCACACATGTAGGAAGCACGATTTTCAACGCATAAATCCATAACAATGACCCCCGTCCCCCTGTTAAATAGGCATGCCTCCCCTTCCTTCAAAGTTGGCGAACCCACACCGGACGTTAAGAGCAAGCGGAGAAAGGCTAGCAGAGTGCAAGGGAGTGGACAGCCATGAAATTCCCACGCTAGGGTGCCCAGCTGGACGGATGACCATCTTGTCCGTGATTTTTTTCTCCGTCTTGCTTTCAAAGGAAGGAATCCGACTGCGGAAAGGAAGAAAGAGGATTCTGTCCCTTCTGTGGTCAAAGAGGACCAGCACAAGTAGAGTGGGAGGGGGAAAAAAAGGAGGGGACATTTTTGTCCAGTGAAGATCCTGGACAAATGATTATAAGGAGTGTTTTTTTTTTTTTTTTTAAAAAAAGAGAGAATCCGATGAGGATTAAGCGCAAGAATAATTAACTCAAGTCTACTTTCAGCCACCAGGCTGGGTGTCCTGGGGGATGGGTAGGAATAGCGATATATATATAAGTCGAAGTGCTATTGCTGCCTGCCTGCCTGCTGTGGTGACACAGTGGTGAGAATGCTGTATTGCAGGCTGACTCTGCCCACTGCCAGCAGTTCAATTCTTGCTGGCTCCAGGTTGACTCAGCCTCCCATCCTTCCAAGGTGGGTCAAATGAGGACCCAGATTGTTGGGGGCAAGAGGCTGACTCTGCAAACTGCTTAGAGAGAGCTGGAAAGCACTGGGAAGTAGTATATAAGTCTAAGGGCTATTGTTATTGACCTCCCACCCTCCCTCCCCCTTTTTCCTTCCTTCCTTCCTTCCTTCCTTCCTTCCTTCCTTCCTTCCTTCCTATTCTGATCT